AGATATCACTCGCTTTATCCTAGTGTATGTGGATGACATTTTAATAATTGGTTCTTCCTTAGTATCGATCCGTAAACTCATTGACTATCTCCATGAAATTTTTTCTCTAAAGAATTTAGGATGCCTTGAGTATTTATTAGGCATTGGGATTAAATGATTTTGTTCTAGTTGTCTTCTACTCACACAGACCAAATACATATGTGATCTTCTGAATCGTGCCAACATGAATCATGCAAATGGCATCTCCATGCCTATGCTAACAGGCTGCAAGTTTAGAAGACATGGTGCAAACACTCACTCAGAGCCTCATCAATATCGGTCAATGGTTGGAGCACTTCAGTATGTCACACTTACACGACCAGAAATGGCGTTAAGTGTAAACAAAGTTTGCCAATTGATGGCCTCACCTCTGCAGATTCGTTAGTCAGCTGTAAAACGGATACTGTAATATCTCAGTGGCACAATTAACCATGAATTACTTCTTTCCCCTAGCTCCCACAACTAGTAAATTCTCCCTTCGTGCATACACTGATTCTAACTGGGCATGTGATCCAGATGACCGACGTTCAACATCAGACTCATGCATATTTTTTTGGGTTCAAATTTCATCATGTTGTAAATCTTGTTGTGAATTATGACAAAATTCAATATTAATTTGTGAGGAAAAGAACACTAGCAACCAAACTAAATGGTCTACAACAATAATAATCCGTACACAGATAATATAATAGAATAAGGTAAGAAAAAAATCAAAGGTTTGTTTATCCAGTTCGATCAAATGATCTACTCTAGGGGAGAGAGCAACTCTCCAATTCACTATACTCAGAAAGTTTTTTTTACAAGAGATTATAGATGAGTTATAAGAAAATAACCTTCGCCTTCAAGTTCCCAAGAACAACCCTAAAGGCGCCCAAGAACAACCCTATTTTCTACCCAAGTGTTTCCCTACCTCTCCAACTCTCAATATATGAATCACTCAAACCCAAAGTGTAATCCAAGGTTTTCTTTGTGCATAGCTGAAATCCTATGCTATACCTTTAAACCTTTGGTCTTCCTTGTTGGTGACAACTCTAAGATTGTCACACACCAAGCATATAAGAGATACATATTTATAATAGAAAATACCCAACAAACAAAGCCCAAAATTACATGGATCCATAGACCGAATCGAAAAAAGCCTGAAAACTCGAAAACACTATTCATCGTACGAACTACACTATTTATAGTACGGACTCACTATTCATCCGTACAGATATCACTATTCACCGTACGGACACCACTGTTCACCGACTGATTTTTTTTCTCGACTTTTTGTACAGCTTTCTAAAACTTTTGATTTTCGCAGTAAACACAATCTCCAAAATATGTTTTCTTTCTCTTCATAAACAAAGGTTTTAAAACACATTTACAATAATCTCCGCCTTGACTTTAAACTGTGTTGATACCAATTTAACAATCAACAACATTGCTTCTCTCTACCAAGTTAAAATTTAAATCAATAAATTTGATCAAATTCAAGCAACCCTTGAATCTTGATCTCGCAACTTGAATCCACTTGTTCCCAATTACCCTTTTCTGCCTAGGTAATTTAACAAGTCTACAGGTATGATTTTTCAACCACCCTTGAATCCACCTGTTTTCAAATGCCTCTCTGAATATTTTTCTTCTTTTATTTTGCAGTCCTTAAGCCACATCAAAAACATAATATTCAAGGCTAGCATAACCGTCAATTTGAGATGCTACAATAACTCTCATTACCTTATCATGAGTCAAATGATAATCAGAGATCTCTGTAACCGTTCCCTCAATACTGCTAGCATCCATAGTAGGAAACTCTACCTCAAACTGAGTGTTCTCCGTTAAAGTTTCTCCTAGGTTTTTCCCTTGGTTTTCACTATTCTTCTTCTGAAGAAATTCTCTACCAACCAAGTAAGTTGTTTTAACCTCAACTCTTCCCCAAAAACTCAATAATAACTCAGCGATAACATGCATTTTTATCCCTTGGTTTCTGAGTAATTCATTGTACTCCTCTGAAACTTTCTCAAGGCATTCATAACGCCTTAAACTCAAATCTCATAGCTCTTCCTTGTCATGAAAGCCTCCACTAGTTAAAGATGAATGGATAATAATATTTGAACCTTCTAAAATATATAGAACACATATTTTAGACCTTTTAGCAATAATCAATTCATCACGCGAAATCTTCATCATTCCACTTTCAACTCTAGTACAATAGCCTAGATCATCGAACATACTTATAGATAACAAATTTCGCTTGAGTTCTGGAACGTACCTCACATTTGAATAAGAAGTTCACGATCATTAAACATTTTAAAGCTGACTGTTCCAATACCATGAACCTTACATGCCTTATTATTACCAAGGCGAACTACTCCACCTTGCACCATCTTCAAAGTTTCAAAGTATTCTATTCTTGGACACATGTGATAAGAGTAACCTGAGTCAGTGATCCAACTATCTTCAATTTCCAAACTCGATACTACTAGTGCTTCGGCATCCTCGTAACTTTCCTCATCCAATGCAACTACAGCTTGAACAAAATCTTCATTGATCTTTCTCTTAGGACATTCCCTTTTAAAGTGACCAATTTTATGACAATTAAAATATTTTACCTTTGACTTATTAGACCTCTTTGATTTAGACATCCCTTTACGCTCACCTCCTCCTCTTGACACATTTAAGCTTTCACCACTATCTTCAATATTCAAATATTTCGACTTTGAAAATTCTTCGGATTTCACCGCCATCTGGACTTCATCCAAAGTAATATTATCTTCCTTACCATAAAGAAGGGAATCCTTAAAGTGCTCAAAGAATCTGGATAATGAACTCAACATGAGCAAAGTCTTGTCCTCATCATCAATCTTCACTTCAATATTCTCAAGATCATCGATAATCTTGTGAAATTCTATAAGCTGCTCAACTATGAATTTGTTCTCCACCATTCAGAATGAATAGACTTGTTGCTTCAAATATAACTTGTGAGCCAAAGACTTTATCATATACAATGATTCAAGTTTTGTCCACATAGCAACCGCAGTTTGCTCCCTGACGACTTCTCTTAGAACTTTATCCCCGAGTCACAATATAATGGCACTCCTGACCTTATCCATCATCTCGTTCTTCTGTACTTGTGTAAGCCCTACAGACGTCAATGATCCATTCTTCAAAGCATCGATACACTTCTCTTGAATTAAAATTGATTGCATCTTAATTTTCCACAACTCGAAGTCGTTGTTACCGGAAAATGTCTCGATCTGCCATCTACTAACCATGGTTCTCACTTGTTAATAATATCTCTTTGCTTCACGCTCATCGCACCACTTGTTGTGAATCTTTGTTGTAAATTACGATAAAATTCAATATCAATTTGTGAGGCAAAGAACAATAGCAACCAAAATAAATGGTTTACAACAATAATAATCCGTACACAGATAATATAACAAAATAAGGTAAGAAAAAACTGAAGGTTTGTTTACCTAGTTCGATCAAACAATCTACTTTGGGGGAGAGAGCAGCTCTCCAATTCACTATACTCAGAAAGTTTTTACAAGAGATTACAAATGAGTTATAAGAAAATAGCCTTCGTCTTCAGGTTCCCAAGAACAACCCTAAAGGCGCCCAAGAACAATCCTATTTTCTACCCAAGTGTTTCCCTACCTCTCCAACTCTCAATATATGAATCACTCAAACCCAAGGTGTAATCCAATGTTTTCTTTGTGCATAGCTGAAACCCTATGTTATACCTTTAAACCCTTGGTCTCCCTTATTGGTGAAAACTCTAAGATTGTCACACACCAAACATATAAGAGATACATATTTATAATAGCAAATACCCAACAAACAAAGTCCAAAATCACATGGATCCATGGACCGAATGGAAAAAAGTCCGAAAACTCGAAAACATTATTCACCATACGGACTACACTATTCACCGATCGATTTTTTTTCTCGACTTTTCGTCCGACTTTCTAAAACTTTCGATTTTCGCGGTAAATGCAATCTCCAAAATATGTTTTCTTTCTCTTCATCAACAAAGGTTTTAAGACACATTTACAACATATCAATAAAAATTCAAAGAAACAACCATTGGTTGCATGATCAAGCACTGAGGATGAATACCGCGCCATAGCTCACACGAAGTCAGAACTTCTGTGGCCTGAATCGTTGCTCAAAGAACTTGGTTTACCATTCTTTCCTTCCACGCTACTATGTGATAACCTTAGTGCCATTCTTTTCTAGCACTATTCAATCCTTCATGCCCGCACTAAACACATTGATCTTGATATTCACTTTGTTCGTGAATGGGTCATTGCTAAACATATGAAGATCCAACATGTTCCTAGTGCTTTGCAAATTGCAGATACTCTCACCAAATCTCTTAGCACTGGCATTTTTCAAGACTTACGTACCAAGTTCAAAGCCGTCAGTTTCAATCCTCCTTAAACTAGTGGGGGAGTAATATAGCATTATGCAGAGTGGTCAATCATCAAAACCAGAAACAGTGGAATGCATTGTGTAGATCTTAAGTAAGCTATGCACATGTTAAAGCTCCATCACATCACATGTATATATGAATGTATTCAAGCATGCATGTACAGCTATATAACTTCAACTTGAACAACTATATAACTTCAACTGATTGAAATGAAATGAAGTTATTCCATCACTCTTCAATTTTTTTATCAGTGTGTTTTATTTACTTGTCCACATATCATGTTGCAACTCAAATTTTGTAATTTAAATCATAGACACATCAAAATTAGAAAACAAAGAAAAAGAGACAAAAATTACATAGACGCCAAAAGTACATAAATGAAATTTGCAATCATGCTCAAGGTGTTAGATTATTGAACACAGTCAAATTCTCCTCTAAAATACTGTTACATGCTTACACTGAGAAGATGACATACACCAAAGTTTCCAATCATTACATAAAAGTTAAAAACACATAAATAAGTAATTATATTTATATAATCTTAAACAAAATCCCTATTCTCATTTGGGTCCATCTTTCCCTTAGTAAGCACAAAGTCAAGGTTATAAAGCAAAGGAACCATAGTAAGAGAACACAGGAACACCAAAACAGGTCCAAAAATCCACAGCAACATAGGAAGTGCTGAATAGAAGAGTCTATTTCCAACAGTGTTTAAAGTGAAACCTCTCTCCAACATTTCACTAACATAAGATGGTGTTACCAAAGACATTGAATCCTGTGGTGTGTTGATTAGGATATTCACTTGGTTTATGAACCTTATGGAAAGAGAATGACAGAAGAATGAGAATAGGAAAATGGTTAGAAGTGTCACGTATTTAAGTGCTTCCATGAACTCTCCATGTGCGCCATAAACTGTGTCGTTGAGTGGTTTCTTAACGCTGTAGGTGCTGCTTATGATTGCTGCTAAGCCTGAACAGAGAAGAATGGAGGTTGTGGCCATTAGGGTTGAACCCATTAGTGTGTTCCTTAGTGTTTGAACAGCTAGGATGTTTTTCTTCTCGTTGTCCTGTCAAAATATTCATATATTACAAACATTGAATAATCAACTTATCATGGTTATTTTTAAACATGTTTTGTTAATACAAATCATTGTACATGTATATCAAAATAAAAAGAATATATGTTATTAAGTTAATTAATTAAAATGCTTCTATATTCTCTTCTTTATCTAATAAAGTTGCAAAATTAAAAATTGAGTAAAGATTAAAATAAAATATAGGCGTGATAAAATATAGAGATGAATAATATATGATGGGATTAAAATAAATAATTATTCTATCACTTGTTGTCGCACAAATAATAATTAATAAGATCATATTATATTATTTATTATAATTTTGAGAATATATATATATATATATATATATATATATATATATATATATATATATATATATATATATATATATATATATATATATATATATATATATATATATATATATATATATATATATATATATATATATATATATATATATATATATATATATATATATATATATATATATATATATATATATATATATATATAAAAGTTTTGATTTTTAAAATTTATCTTTCAAAAATTTGTCTCGGTATATATCCATCAAAAAATCATTTGATAATATTTTTATCATTATTATTTATATTCAATTAATTTTTATTTTTACATTTATCAACAATAAGGATGAGAATTAGCTCAGACGAGATAGACATTATCAAACCTAAACTTTACCTGCGAAGAAATATCAAAACTTAAGATTAAGATTAATATGTAATTTGTCTTTGATTTATTTTTAGGTTTTTTTTTTTTTGAAAATCTGATTAGCCTATTAGTTTACCTCAAATTCAATTTTATTTGAACATATATAAATAAACAATTCAATTAATATTTATATAAATTAAAAATTAAAAAATTAATAATACTAAAAATTTGTTTGCTGAATTCGCAATGTAACATATTTTTTATAACACTATTTGGTTAAAAACAACTTATTATATTGTTTGTTTATAAGGTGTTTTTGATTTATTTTCCTAAGTCATTCAGAATAATTAAGTTTTATTTTAAATTTTAATTCAAAATGTAATATAAATAATAATAATAATAATTCATATTATTTAAATAATTGATTTAAAATGTTTTTTTTATAGCATGGGTAAATAAAGTTATAAAAAACATAGATATTTTTTACTTTAAAAAATGGTCTAATCTATGTAAATTAGTCCTAAAATCCATGTTGATTGAACTGATCTATTCTCACTCCTCATCAACAAAAATATTAATTCTACTATTTTAAAAAAAAATGCTGTTGTCAATAGTAGATCTCTCCTTTAAGTAATTTAAAGATAACATTAACTATCATAATAAGTAATAATATATTCAAAGAAAATTTAAAACAAAATTTTATACATATTTTAATTTCTGACACCATATTAATTTTTTCAGTATCCCACAAAACTTCAACCTAAATTTCTCTTTGAAGTGTGTATATCGAGGCACACACCCTCACTTAAATGATAGATCTGTTCTTGTGTCTAATGAATCATGAACCTATTGAATACATTTTTGTGGATGTTTTAAACCCATTTGGTAATTCAACTTGCACTACTACGAGGCGAGTCGGAGAGGTATGTTTATGGAATATAGGTAGGTCCGTCTGGTCGACCACCACAACTTGTGATTTTGAAAATTCCTGTTAGGGATATGATATGATAGATTATGTTTTTGGTACATGATCAGATATCAGAGATTTGGATTAAAGTTACTTGTACTACAAACATACCCAAATAAAGTGTTTGTTCACACTCCTAATGTGTCTGGAGAATCTATACCTACATCTATACTAATTCCATTCCTACAATTTTAGGTTTAAATTCTCCTGGTGAATCATTTTTAGGATATCATATTCAACATCCAATTATTTAATATATTATCATTTTTAGATATCAAATTATTTTAATCTTGAATTAGTTTCTTTTAAGGGGACTAGTACCAACAAAATCTTAGAATATTATATATATATATATATATATATATATATATATATATATATATATATATATATATATATATATATATATATATATATATATATATATATATATATATATATATATATATATATATATATATATATATATTTATTTTATATTTGCGAAACAATATTTCTATTTATTTATCACCGAATAATATTGTGTTTTTATTTTTAATATTTTTTTTGGGATGCCACATTTAAATTATAAAAAGTACAAAGAAATATTGTTTTCTAAAAATTATTGATTCTTTTTAATGAATTATTGTTTTCTAAAAATGATTAGTTATCTCGGTCTTAATATAAAACATACATATTAAAATTAAAATTGCATAAATGGCAACTCATCTGGCAAAAAAAAAAATAAACACTAATTTTGCAAAATGTTCAGACAAATTATTCCAAGTGAAAAATATCATTTTTCTTAACCAAAATAATCACTTTTGATACTTTTTAATCTGTTTATTATATCTGAAAAAATATATAAAAATTGTTTCTTATAAGGAGCTGTTTTAAATAAAGTCATTTTTTATAATTGATATATTAAAAAAAATCTGATTTTTATCATAATAAATAAACATAAAATGATTCTTTTTTTTATAAAAATTACTAAAAAAAGATATATTGTGTAGGTAGGTACATACCTTCATCATAGCAGCAACCCAATTCCTTCTCCCATTAGCATTGATGGCAATGATAGTTGTATGTGGATGAGTTCTAACATTATACCACAACCAAACATGGTAACCAATGCTTAATAGAATTGCCAATGGAACCAATATTACATCCAAATAACACTTCTTCCATTCCATACTCTCTACGTGAGATCAACTAGATACTATCCTTATCTTGAGCAATCTCAGTGGAAGTTTGATATTCCAATAATTTGGTAGTGCCATGCTTGGTTTTTATACACATGAAGAAAGAATGAATGTGGACATGTTTGTATCTCTATTCAGTCTATATCATATAGTTCATAAAGAAAGACCCTTACTTTTTGAGATTTATTACAAACTTTATAATTATGCTTATTATGATACTACACGTGGGGTCACTTTTGTATGAATTCCTTTACCTATTAATTTGTATGATTATAGGAAATGGATGGTTTGAAGGAAGTAATCATGTGGGAAGACTTGGCTAATTGTTAGTGGAAAATAAAAAGTAGTGTAATTATTAATTTCAACTTGGTCACATATGCAATATGGATTATATAAGCCCTAGTGTGACTAGTTGCATGCACAAATTAGTGACTAAAATGACTAAGAGATGATTTTCTTTCTTTCTTAAGTTTATGTATGTAATGTTAGATTATAATTTTGATTTTGCCTATTAGAATAATGAAGTGTTTGACCCATTTTATAGAAATAGATGAATTGTATAGAGGCATAATATTAATTGCAAATAGTAGAGATAAGTGTGAGGAATGTTGTTTTTATATGTGTATAATACTATTCACTTATTCTTGGTTCTAAAGTAGATGCTTCTTGTTATTGATTTGAGGAAAGTATTAATAAGAAAGTGGAAAATAATCTTCACATTTTTTTGGTTTGACATTGGGTTGGGTTTGATGAATTTAATTAAATTTAAAAATATGAATTATAACATATTATTTTATATTAAAGCATTATTATAAATAACACATTTAACGCCGACTACAAAATGTATTTAACTTTTACTAAACACGTGAAATAATAAAGAGTGACATGAAAAACAATTATTTTTTACATCGGTATTTTTAAAATCAAGATTAGAAATTAAAAGGTCGTGGATTCGATTCCAAACATCAGTGTTTTTATAATTTTCAGAATTGAATGACGCGCTCAATAATAAAACTCGGTGTTTTGTAGAACCGAGATGATCCTGAATATAGAACCATATTTTTAGAACCAGTTACATAATTATAGAACCATATATTTTGAAACCTGTATTACAGAACAAATTACATAACCATTTTCAAAACTAAAATAAAGGATTATGAAACAAAAACAATAACCAAAATTAAAAGTTTTGTAGGTTGTTCAATAAGATTCGTCAATGATCCTGAAGTACTTATAGTTTAAACGACATTTAAAATTAATTAGGTCAATCAACAACAACTTTATATATATATATATATATATATATATATATATATATATATATATATATATATATATATATATATATATATATATATATATATATATATATATATATATATATATATATATATATATATATATATATATATATATATATATATATATATATATATATATATATATATATATATATATATATATATATATATATATATATATATATATATATATATATATTACAATGATTAAAAAAGAATAAAATGATTAATTATAAATTTTATTCTTGTGGAAGATTATTATATTAATTATTTAATTAATCAAATGATTAATTATAAAGGAATTAAATTATATATCAGAGAATAACGGTGAGAGATTTTTTTCGTTTGTTATGACTCATAGGAGAATAAATGTTCTTTCATTTGTTGGAGAAGAAGTGTTATTTCGTAAGAGCTCAAGAAGTGAATGAGGTAACGCTGAGTGATAAAAATAATATAAAGAGAATATCAAGAACAACAGTAATAGAGAATAATAATAATAACATTAATGGGCCAAAGCAACAATAAGAACAACAACAACAATAATAACATACCGGAGAATAAAAGTGGGAGAGTTTTTTCATTCGCTATGGCTCCTTTGAGAATAAGTGTTCTTTCTTTTGTTGGAGAAAAAATGTTCATTCGTTAGGGCTCGAGAAGTGAATGAAGTAGACACTGAGTGATAAAAAGTATAAAGAGAATAACAAGAACAAGAGTAATAGAGAATAACAAGAACAATATTAATGGACCAAAGCAACAATAAGAACAACAACAACAACAGTAACATACCAGAGAATAATAGTGAGAGAGTTTGTTTGTTTGTTAGGGCTCCTTGGAGAATAAGTGTTCTTTCTTTGATGGAGAAGAAGTGTTCTTTTACTAGGGCTCAAGAAGTGAATGAGGTAGAAACCGAAGAAATAAAAAATATAAAGAGTATTTATCGTGGTTATAATGAAAAATAAAGGCGCCTTTATGATTTCAAAAAGAATAAAAAAATTAGAGATTATTTATCTCAGCTTTTCTAAAAATCGAGGTAACATATCCGACCTAAAACTTATAAAATTTAAAGGTGCTTTTTTGATCCCATATAAAACATAAAATTGCAGGTATTGATAATCGAATCTCAAACTCTGAGCATATTGTTATGTCACCTTTACAAAGAACCGAGGTAACAAATTGTTTATTTTAAAATAAGGCACTCTGTATACATACACCCTCGATTATATATTTTTTGTTGTGAAAGTTTCGTTATAAAATGTATTTTTTGTTGTAGTGAAGAATAATTAATAATGATTATTGGAGAAATTGATTTAACACAGAGTGGATATAACAGGATTACCTACCTTCATTGCCGTTTAGAATTTTTAGAGTATGTTAATCGTCTAATGGGACAATGCTTAAATAACTAAATGATTGAGGGTGGGGACCTCTCGTTGAGATGAATTGAATGGTTCAATCCATCACAATACATTCAGATACAAAACTCAATCAAACAATTAATCTATAATTAATGTTTAATAACAATGAATTATAATTTAATTTATTAATAATTAATTATGTCAATCCACATTTGATTAATTAAATATTTAATATAATAATCTCTGACTTGTATGACGATGATTAAAACACTAATCAATCAAAAGATAATTAAGTTTCAACGTTGCAGAAACTATATCCGATAGGAAAAACAAATCATATATGTTAAAAACTCACATTTTATATAAAAAATGACGAATTTAGAGTAACATATTTAAATTAAGAGAAATATGTTATAAAAATGGTCCAAGCATATGAATATATTAATGATAAACTCCAACTAATCCAAAATATCAAAGACGTATTCATTTTTATAAGTCTATGGTTAGTATTATACTAATGAGTTTTTAAATTATAGATCGTAGAATATTCATATAGATCTAAGAATAATAATTACACATAAGCATACCTTATTAAGAGAGTAATTACATTTAAAGATAAGTACTTTCATAATACAATATCTAATTCAATAGAAGAGTATTGATATTATACTTGTACTTTCATATTTATGACCACAAGATATGGAATATTAAAGATAGAATAATACAATATTATTGCACGCTAAAGAGTTACAGTGCATGTTGACCCAAACATCATATTATGATGTTTCTTGAGATTAAAAGAATAATATATATCTTAGAGTTATTGTATATTTTGAAGTCTTCTTAGAATATGTTATATTTTATAGTGCACACAAAAATATATGATAATATGAGAATAATAATCTAAAATTTTTTAGATTAGATTATATGATTATGTATGCACGTACTCTTTTGATCTAACATGAATAGATTGGATAAGGATTTATTAGAGAATACTAATATTAAATACTCTGAGATACTTATTTTATTTTATTTTATTGTAAAATTATTCAGAGAAATAGTTGTATAATATATCACCATTAGAGTTTTACAAACTCAACCATATATTTTACACATAAATAGAATATATAATTATTTAAGTAATTTCACATGAAATAGTATGATGGTCATATAAAAGGTTTAACATCATTTAGTAAGATCAAATTCATATAATTTAAAATATCGTATAAGATTATATATAATATTTTAATAATTCACTTAAAACTCAAATACTACAGCTATAACCACACACATTTAAGAAATATATTATGCTATACGCAATAAAAGAAATGAGACTTTAATTTAATTAATATTGAGTATAACACAAATAGTCATGGGTTTTCATTAATACTATAATATTGTAATATCCTTAATATAAGTCTCCATAGTATAAAAATATTGAATAAATGATATTTGATTCTCATTTTATAAAATTGACATGTAAATTTTCTTATTTGATAGAGAATAATAGTTGAATTATTAATTTAAAATTTTAAAACATAGTTTAAATGATTATTCAATTATTTTCTCTATCATATAATCATGTCAAATAACGTAACACTGATAGAATATACCCATCACATACATAATACAAAGAGAATTGAAATTCATTTTAATAAAAGATATAAAATAAATGATTGGATTTCATAAAGTATTAAAAGTCTTTAAAATTAATTTCTTATTTATTGTAGTTTCAAATGATAATAGCAATATAAATAAATATGAAATTTAACAATAATGTACAAATATTATATCAAAAAAATTATATTACTTGTAGGGTTTTCAATCAATAATTTACATATTCATAAATCATAAGTACATTGAACAAAAACTTATATTAATAATAACACACCAATAATGTACAACTATTATCAATATAACAGTCACTCCTATGGAAATCCCATTTAACAACGGTTGGAAAAGATATATAATCATGCGGACCCAAGCGTTATTATGTAAAATATCGTTGTATATATGATACTTACAATCACGGCCCAATAACCGTTGTAATAAACTCGAAAGCGCGCGCCCTATCACAACGGGTTTTTCAAAAGCCTGTTGTGATAAAAGTAATGGTCCTAAGTTCAATTCTCAACTGCGTCGTTTTGATATTTATTTTTTTCTGGTCAGCGCACAAGATATTATAACGATTATGATATATAACCGTTATTAAACTTTCTGTAGAATTAACAAATATTATCCTGCTTTTATAATTAATCCCATTTTTTAACCTGTATTATTGTTCACCATATCATAGCAGAAAATACAACTCACATTTGTGATAAAGTTATCATAA